GGGGGGTAGGCGTAAAAAGTGTATTATAATTTATAATGATATACATGTACTCCATTATGTGGTCTTCAATCTCATCAACAAAGGGCTCATCTCCCAAGACGGGAGAAATGTAGGGTCGGGATTTTTTCATTTAACACAAAGAGTTTTCGTAAAAACCATGCAATGTGTGTAAGGTAGGGCATTCAGCTCTATTAAGAAAAAAACCCTGAGAAGTTTATTCCTCTGGATATTCTATTTTAGACTCCGTATCATGAACAAGTGTTTATGAAGAGGCCATTCTTTTCAGTACCCTAAGTAAATACATGTATAATAAATATAGCAAAACAAATGGAGGATGTTGTACCAACAAAATTGCTATTTTGGTTTACTTTTTAACGTATTGTTCCTCTTTTAAAAGTGCACTTGGAAGTAAACGGTTGACGCAAAACCAAGGGGGTGGGGGTTGGGGAGGATGCTTCGATCAAGCCTCAAACCTGACAAGTGCAACTTGGGCAAGGAGATTTCTCCAGGAACATTTCACAAAGGCATAATATTATTACCCCCCTCAATAAAAGAATCGAGCCAATTATCTTTTGATAGCAAGATGAAGAGCCTGGCCATTCACTCATTGCCCTATTTCCCCCACCGCACTCCCTCTGTCCACAGACAGAAGGTGAATGACGCGTAGTAGACTCTCATGCTCATCACATTGGTCTCTGAGAAGTTTTAGTAAGCGGTGAACGGCACTTGCAACACAATCAGGACGTGGGTGGTAGGCGGGTACTCTGGTGTGGTTCGCTTCTTCTTCCTATCAAACATCTGTCGTCCTTATCTCCCTTACTTCTTTTTTATGTTTGTTACTCACTTGTAACACCTCTAATCTTCAGGCGCTCATATGACCTTATGCAGTTGCGAGCGCAGTAAAACCTCTACTAAAACTAAAACAATTAGGTCATAAATATGCCGAAGATAATAGTAATCATAATACTAATAATGATAATAACAATAATGCATTTATATAGCGCTCTATCACGTACGAGTATAAGCTTTGGGCGCTTAGATTCGACTTGTTACAAGATAGAAAAATAAGCAAAAAGGAAGGAGGAAATGTTAGGACGATAGATCTAGGTGTTCGACAAGAAAGAAGGAGCACACCACACAAGAGAACCAACCAACCACCACCTGCGCTCTCTGAGAAGGAAAAACCGAAAGAACAAACATGACCAACAAGAATTCAACAAAAGTAGAGACCATTATTTGAACGTTGAATTATTATTCGTCGCTGAGAACAGCACTTGATCAAGATGCTACAGAGCAGTCTCTATGGTCCAAATTAACGTCAATTTAACTTGTATTTTGTATTATTTTATTCATTCATTGCTCGACACAGCAGTCGTAGTTTCACCAATTTTTTTTAGCGAGCTCCTAGTTGACTGACGCAAAGAAAGTGAGAAATCAGGGGCGAAGACGTTTTATCCGAGAATTAATGATAATTGCTTGTTTGTAAAAACCCACAATATTTAATAAAGTTTTTGTGAAAAATTGTACCACTTGAAGTCTGAATAGGTTAAGCACATGTTTGCCGATGTACTGACTCATTGACGCAAAATGTAATGCCCGAACTAAAGACGGGGTGTTTTTTGTGGGGGGGGGGGGGGTTTCGTTTTTGTTTTGGTGTTTTGTTTTTTGCTAAAGGGCGCACATTGCAGTAACGAGTCGAGTCACTCTGATACTGCGTGATAAATTCATTTCACGCCCTAAAGGTCACGGCGAAGCCAAAGCTGATTTCGCTTGGTGCTGAATTTATTTTCTGTGGTCTTACATTGGTAGATTCCCATACAACTTTAACCGCGGCATTGCTGTTTGGCACAGACAGACGGAGGTTCGAATCAAAGTAGCATGAATATTTATCGCAGTACCGGAAATATTTTCCTGTCTCATGCATAATAACTTGAGAAAGCGTACTTCAGTTGCTTTTTTTTTTAACTTTGTTTGTGCGCCTGTTTATAATAGCAAAAGTTTTGTCGGAAAAAAAAACAACACACAAACAAAGAAACAAAACAATGTATAACTAAACAACGCAAACACTGCTAGTTAACACGCCTTGACATCGTCTATTGTCTTGTTTCGCCCAGCATTCCCAGCTGCATTCTGCGTCGTGGACAGGTT